ATCTTGACCCATTAACCCATGTGCACAAGTATGTACAAGTGGAAGGAGGAAATCTAAGACAGAAGAGTGGCCCCAGTAGGGTTCATAAATAAGGAGATTTTTGATAATGATGTTTAACATCAAGCCAAAAGATGTCTTGAAGTTTGCAGAAGAGAAAAAGAAGCAAAACTAAGCAATTTTTAAAAAGTCACATTTTTTTCAGCTGTCAGAAAGTGAGATTAAATTATTCAAATAACATTACAAAAAACAATGATGAAACAGGAACATTTGTTTCTAGATCTCTGGCTCATTCTAGCAAACACTGTAAGCTTCATTAGAAATATCACAGTCTGCTCTTACTGCAACTGCATCTGGTAATCTAGATAAATCAGGCACCAAATTGGAAACAGCTACACTCATCTAGCATGCATCTTCACAGACATGACCCTAAAAGACCATCTCTGTAATGTACCTCAATGTACTTCATGAGCTCCTTGACATATCTGTCTCTGTCTGACGGCACATCGCAGTGTGACTGCATGTAAAGCACAGGAGCCAGACCCTCCCTCCTCAGGCGGTTCTTCTCCTCTAGGGACACCGCTACAGGCTCCAGCAGGTAGTCCAGGGAGGGTAGCCACTGCAGGGTCAGAGGATAGTCGGACTCCCTCCGAAATGTGGCGGTGTAGTTGAACAGTCGAATTCCTGGTCCATGGGAGAGTATGTAGTTATTCATGGGTGACTCTTCATGAAACAGTGCCCAGGTCTGGTGGCGGAGTCGAGGTAGTGGTGCCTCATATGCCCTGAAGTCTGTCCCATAAAAGATGATGGATGCTGTCCGTTTGTACAGTTGCACCTTTCAAGATCAAGCTCAAAATTACCGGCAGAACAACTTAATATGATAATTATTATTAATGTGTTGATGCAGCTTCCTTCTGTCTCAGCCAAGAATTTCAGTTAAAACTTCATGCGGTTAAATATCTATTGTACCTTGCGGTTGCTTGTGACCAGGCAGGAGGATGTGGTGCAATCAATGCGTTCAGTGTCACCAGGAAAATGTGGGAACAGTCCCCCACTCCACCAGAGGAGAATGGGCAGCTCCTTATTGCTGCGGCGGTCACTGTTGCCAGGTCCTCTGTATGAACTGATGGAGGCAAACTCCATCTCAGATAGAGCACTCTGGGGTTGAAAGGCTCCTCGTTCCACTGCATCCAAGGCCTCCAGGGAAAGCTGATCATCTGGAAAGGAGGCAAAGGAGACCCAGACCCAGCACAGGACACCAAACAGACCCAGACACAGACAGGAGACCAGCCTGTGCCTACCTGCCATCTGCCAGGTTGAAAAGATGAGAAAACACATGTCAGAGCGAGGTGCAATTCAGATACAACCAGGGGTTAATTTGGGCAGGAGCCCACCAGAACTGAGCTCTCCAGATGTCCAAATAGCACCCAGCTGGAGCTAAGCGCCATCTCCTTCAGCATCATATCATTTAGGCTATTTCATTCTCTCATTAAATGTTACATGGTGGTCTAGAGTGAGACGAGAAACAAGCAGTGACATCTATTAACATTTAACCAATGATATCAAATTTCATGAGTTATCAGACATGCATGTGCATGTACTGGTTCTGTTATGCAATGGCACGAATAATAGTTTTGCTAAGTTGGCTAATATTTTATGTGCTTTTGATTTTATTTTTACTGAGCTGTTTGTTAAGCAACATAGTTGGTCTCCTCCACACAGCCGACAGCAGGCAGAGAGGCAGCAGAGAGCTCAGGTAGTTGACAACAACTATGCTTGTTATTGTAAGCGCCATAACATGAGTAAAAGGCCAGAAGGTTTGCCAGAGCAAGTTTTGGTGAACTTGGTGTCTGAGAGCAGCCCCACTTTCCTCCCTGTACCCCTGTGCACACCTGTACCTGCCATCTGCGGTAAGAGCGAGGCTGAATTAAAAATTGTGACTGAGTTCAATGTTCATTCTTTATCAGCTTCACTCAGTAATTAGTCAGGAGTTTCTTTAATTTTTTGTTTTTTTTAGATTTTACAATTATTACTGAATCTAACATTATGTTGTGACTTGCTGTTGTAGACATGAATTAATGAACTTATACTCAGTGGTCACTTTATTAGGAATGGCAGTCTAAAACATCATCTAAGTCCTGCAATAGAGAGTAATGATTCAACTGTATGACCATTTTGGAGACTGGTTTGTGCTGCTGTTGGAGTGTGCTCTGCTACACAGACAGGAGTTTGTGTTAGCTAATTAACCATTTCTAGCATCTAGTTCGAGGTAGTCCAGCTCTGTAGATGTGGGTACAGTGAGGAGGTGGGCTGTGTTATTTCTCTTAAAACACAATGTAGCTACTTAACAGCTCTCCCTTAAAACTAAGACTGACATATTAAAGATAAAGATATAATTGTGAGTAAAACGTGGTAAAGAAATCTGCTGAATACCAGTTTAAAGATGTTTTAAATATATTTTTATAGGTGTCATGGTGTTTAACTAAAGTTAAAAAAAATACTATTTAATGTGCATTCTAAGTGTTTGTATTTGCATTTACAGTGTAGTTTTGTAGTGATGCATTTACTGACCAGATTACAACAAATGGTACTTCAACTAGTGGTTAAAAGAAACTGGCTATAAATAAGGAAAACTGATGATATAGTCAAAAGCTTTTATTCAGACATAAGATCGGAGAATAACCAGACTATCTATCTATCTATCTATCTATCTATCTATCTATCTAT